CCACCCTCCCCAGTTTATTTTTCTTCTTGGCAGAATGAGAGTTCTTTGTAATTACTTGTGGACGATTCCTTTAGTGTTTCCAAGTTCTTTAGAAGTTGGTCAAGGCCAACATGCATCCAGGCATGTATAATGACCGAAGAATTGCAGGAGTGATGGAGAAAGTTCTAGCAAGAGTAAATATTCTAAGATAATATCTATGGTGGTGTTAGGCACTGAATATTTTGAGTGGGGGTTTTTTCCCGATTCGAATGATTAAATGAGGGCAACTCTTACTTGTAAAGGTTGTTTGTGTCAGCCTCAACGGTTAGATGTTTGCTAGTTTATAAGGTAATCTTCTGCTTTAGATTAAAGACAAAATATGTAGACGATGTAACAAAGGTTGCATTAATAAATGTGTAGTAATAAAATATGTAACAAGATACATAATTCTAATGGATATGTTGAAAACAATGTTTGGATTTATAGTACCTATACTTAATGAAACAGGAGCACACTAACACATGCCCTTCTGTTCCATTAACATGACAAAGTTACTTCTTGCATTTGCCATGTATCTGAGAATTTAAAAGTCTCTTCACTTGAATGTCACAAGCAGTTTTTCAGATAACTACTGTTTTCATCAAGAGTAGGGCTTACTGTGGCATTACAAGATCATTTAGCTGGATAGTTACATGAAAGAAAAGAGTTAAATCCAGAGACCTGGTTTTCTTACACTTCTTGTTTGTAAAAGAGAACATGGCAAACAGCAGGAGAAACTAAATATAACCCCTCTACTGCCGTTACATGTCAACTACTGGTAAGCTTCAAAGTCTTGTAGGGAGATTCTGTAAGATTAGAGATGGATGCTTAAGGAAGTAAATATGACAGAACTGGAAAGTAGCAGAAGAAGGACAATTGAATGAAAGGATTGAAGAGAATTTGATTTTTACTTGTTATATGATAATAGTCTGCGTGTGATATCCAGGGGTAGAAAAGACATTCTCATCTTTTTCACTCTGTAGTGATACAGAATGTGTGTTTGTGGTTATAATGTTCACATACCTTGCCTCATTGTTTTAATCTCCTTAGTTTTATTGAGATACATAATCTGGTCTTCAGTATTATTTTTCATTATATAAACAGTCCTTGTGTAATTAGTCAGGTAAAAATGGATCTAGCTCTTTTTCTGTTAATTTACAATTGTAATTTATGCTTTCATTTTTTCCAAATTTTCTTTAGTAATGTAAAAATTTCTAAAACAACGGCTGCACTATCTTATCTAAGAAATATCAGCCACTTCATGCAGACTCTATTTTATACTTCTTCAGTTCCTCATAATAATTATACCATTAGGCCCTGATCTTTTAACTTAAAATGTGAATATCCCCTGTGAAGTTCAGTGCACACAGACTTAAGTTTCAGAGCCGTAAGAATACCTCTTTTCACTTCTGTACAAGGCAAGCATTCTAGTTATAAATTAGAGGGGCAGACATACCGTGCAATAATCTATATGATTTATCCAGTTAGTTTGAATAATTTAAATTTTTAGTAGAGAATACTTTGCTCCATCTTTAAACAGTTTTCAACTCTATCTGTCCATCTTCAGAGTTACATATTGCTTGGATCCCTGGAAAAAATAGGGTCCCTTTATTTTGCTGTGCTTCCCTACCTCACTGAATTACTACCTTAAAAGATCATGGTATTTAGCATGTCTTTCTATATGGAGCTGTATTGCATCTTTATTTCAGTACTGTTGTTTTTACAGTATTTATTTTTTCTTCTCTTACAGAGCTTTTGCGAAACATCAGAACACAAGTGCTTATAAAATTAATTAAGCCTTACACAAGAATACATATTCCTTTTATTTCTAAGGTATTGTCAGTGGAGCCTTGCATTTGCTTAAGTAAATGATTAATTGTGAATAAAAGCTCTTAAATAAATACCGTGCTTCCAGAAATAGAACATCTAAAATATAATCTAAACCATAAAGTAGTACTGATGCACTGCTGGCAGCTTTGCAGTGCGAAAATGTAAATTTCAAGTGCCGTCCCAATGCTTTTTATAACATGTACTATGATATACTTCTAAAATATTCAATTACCATATTCTACTTGGTGTAGAAAAGCACTTTTCTGAAGAGAAATCTAAAAAGTGAAATTTGTATAATTCAAAACGTAATTATGAACATAAATTTTATGAACACAAAAATCCAAATTTCAATTGCTTTTGTTCAAAAGATAGCTTCTAATGTCTGTGTTGTATGAGTTACAGAACTATGGTAATATAACAAACCAACTATTATACTAGAATCGCTGATTTCATTCCCTAATCTGGAAAGAACAAAATCAAACCCCAGTCACAATAGATTACTGTTTCCCTCTCCTGTAAGCCTGTGATTTTTCTTGCAAAAATTCACAGCATTCCAAAATACATGATGGAAGTATTAGATGCCTGTTTTTTATGTTTAAGTTCTCTTTGGAATGCTGTGTGATTTTTTTTTTTTTTTTTTTTTAAGTTAGCATTAACATTTGCAGAACTTGCTTGAGCCAGAAGATGCAATTAGCCCTCTAAATGGTTTTGAGTGCAGACCCATTCTTTTCTGATAATTATTGTCTGTCTTTATTTCCTGGGGTTTTTTGTGTTTGGGTTGGGTTTTTTTTTTCCCAGTAAGTCAGAAAAGGAGCTTATTTCTGGAGCTTCCAAAAACTGCTTTAGCCTCCTCAGCCTTTTCTGAGAGGTTACTGATGTCTTCATCATTGGCCATATATACTTTGGGTGGAGTTATTTTGCTTGATAGATCATTATTGAATTGACACTTTTGAACAGTAAGAAACAGAAATGAAATGAAATTCTGTATATGAAAATAAATATTGGAAGGATTTAATGTTGCAAAACAAAGTCAGCAGTATAATGAATTTTCTTTTTCTTTTAGGAGTTAAACATAGATGTAGCTGATGTGGAAAGCTTGCTTGTGCAGTGCATATTGGATAAGTATGTACTTTATTCTTGATTACTGATCTTTGATTACTTTAAAGTAAAGTATACAAGAAGCAACAAACCAATATTTTTCTGCATTGTGACAATACTGGACATTGTGACAATACTTTCTAGAATTGAAAGGTAATGATGCTGACTCTGGATTTGCTTGGCTTACGAGCAGGAAAGTATATTTGTAAGATGTGAGCCAAGAAAATTTACAGAGAGACCAAGTGGTATGTTTGTACTTTAATTTTTAATTATGTAATAACTTAAATTATTATAAAATTATGAAATGTGATATTCTTAGTAATTGCTGCTTATACCCATGTATATTTTTGAGTACGTTTTCAAGTCAACAAATTAGTAGTCTGCTCTCCTTGACTGGAAAAACTTAACTACAATTTGTAAAATCTTTTTTTGGAGGGTAACTTGTTATATCTACTAGGAAAATATAATCCATACATGGGTTTATATTTTAATTTCTTTTTACATAAATCTTCATTTTTCACGATTCCCTGACTTTCAAGAACTGTTTACCTCATATTGCTTCAGACTTTATATGTGGGTCATAGCTAGGCAGATAAAATATGCATTGCGCAATGAATTAGTTCATTTGATTTCCAATCATGATGACAACTAAATAGGCAATACCACCCAGGACAGTGTCTTACAAGAAGTCCTGTATTCTGAAATGGACTTTGTGTCTCTCTTGTATAAGACAAACTCTGATTTATTATTAGCTCCTATTTCCATGTACATTAGTGGTTTATAGTTATTTATTTATTTACTTCTAGCACTATACATGGCCGAATTGATCAAGTCAACCAGCTCCTAGAACTGGATCATCAGAAGAGAGGTGGTGCACGGTATACTGCGTTAGATAAATGGACCAACCAACTAAATTCTCTCAACCAGGCTGTAGTCAGCAAGCTGGCCTAACAGAAAACAAGCTTTTACAAAAGTACTTAAGGCAACAGTGCAGTGATGTAAACCTTAAAAGAACTGGGAATGGCAAAACTACTGTCGGTTGGTGTGCCCTGAAATTATTGGAGTTATGGCAGAAGTGCTTTTTGGTCAGCTGGTTTGTGTTTTGCTGCTGCATTTATCCCAAGAAAAAAACAGCTTTAATCTCCAGAAGAAAACCAAAATGCCACGGGATTTATGCTGTATTGACATCTTGCCCTAAACATACAACATCCTAGTAATTGTCAAAGGGCAATTAATGACCAGAGAGAAGATTTTTGTCATGATTTTAAATACACTGACACGTTACTGTTGGTTAAAATTAAACATGTTTTACCTGCAGAAATTCTCTCACAGAAATAACCTGCAATAACTTGAAATGCATACCCTTTTGAACACTTCTTTTTCTCATGTATAAATTGAAATGTTTGCTGCATTTTGCAAATTGTCAATTCTCCAAAAATGTGTCCGTATATTTCTGTACCTGCAGTGTAGTAAAGGTTTAGAAGAAACCCCGTAATTATAGTGGCATACTGTCACTTAGGTTTCAAGCAGCAAAATAAACAGTGCGGTTCAGAAATTGTACAGTTTGTTTCTTGATGTGCTTTCATTATACTTGATTTTTACTTCTGTTATTTTTAAAAGAAAATAGGTTTTACTTCATCCTCACCTCATTTATGAAGGACAATATGGAGATTTTAAATCTAAACCTTGGTATGTGTGCTGTTGATTTTTCTTTTTTATTTTTTCCCTTGAAATAGTTAAATACTAAACAGTTGAGAAGCTGACATTTACCATTCTTGCTAACTGACTTTTATCTTGCAAGATACCAGACTCTTACCAGTCCTGTCTAGTTAATGTTGGTGGGTAGTTGGCATTTCTCAGGAATATGCTCGCTTTTTACTTTGGTACTTCAAGAATACAGGTTTGCCAAGCAGTACCCTGGGAGCAGAAATGCAGACCCTGAGTATTAGCTCTCTTTGTATAATCTGTGGTCTTTTTGACCGAATTCAGTGTATATAAAAAGACACTGTGTATAGAGTGAGGACCAAGTACAGTGACCTCAGTAATAATGGAATCTGTTCCGTCTCAACTGTTCGCTTCTTTGTAGTCCCTTCAGAGCTGCTATTCAAGTCCTGAAGTCCTACCATGTAGTAGGCACACACCTTTCATGTCTTAAGATTTTGGGATCATCAAGTCCATTTAAAATATAGAGCTGTAGTGTTGACCACAGCAACTTTTCTTCCTGTAGCAGCGTGTCAGGAGCTGACAGAAAAATTCTCTTGCAGGTCTGAGAAATGTAGAAGCAATTTTGTAGGGCCACTTCTTCCATAACTGCTCGTACTCCATTTTAAAGCTGACGGTATGGTGTTATGGTGTACAAAGCAGTGCCACACACAGTCATTGTTATAGTAGAAGGAAAAATATGTATGTAGAGCAATTAACACCACCCCCAAAATAAGGAAAAAGCCTAATAAATGACACATGTCCATCACATACGTGCAAGACAGCGTGGTAAACTCAATGTTCTAGGGCAGGATTTAAATTGGTAGCAGTGTATAATTAAATATGATAAAAATAACTTTCATCTGAAGCATAGTTATGTCCCTTAGAAAATTATTTTGCTCTGCAGTTGTCAAAGCAAGTGATTTTTTTTTTCCCTAGTGTTTACACAGTAAAACTCAGTATGTTGCATGAGTAGCATAATGCTGAATCTTGGGTGAGCATTTCTTCTTCACTGATGTGTATTTTTACCAATAGGTGTTTCTAATTTATCCACTTATTTAAAATAATATTAAAATATGAATATAAATTTAACTCAGTTTTTAAGCAAAGGCAAATATTTTTCCTTCATAATATCTGTAGATAATATTTACTAAAGCACATTGTTTGTACTTTGTTTTTTTTCCACAGTGCTGTGATGTATAACATAGTGTTTACTTTGAAAATTCCACTAAGATTTGGTGATGTGAAATTGAACTGAATACTGCACAGTAATTGGGCCCCTTATCTACAGATTCAGAGACTTTAATTTGGATAGCCAATCTTGCAAGGTTCTTCTTCCCATAGGGACAGGGGACTGTGTCAGCTATTTCAAGGTTCTTCCCATGGGGACAGGGGACAGTGACAGCTATTTCAGCATATTTCCTTTCTCTGCCATTTACCTGCCACCTTTGCTGTGGGAAGGAACAACTACTCTCCTCAAAAGGAGGGGGGGCAGGGAAAGAACTGTGTGCAAACTTAGTATTGCTTAAAAAAAAAAAAAGTAATCTTTACTTTGTTGTAACTGATGTAACCTTTCCTGTCCCAGCTGTGTCTGTTGGGGAGGGACATTTGGATTTTTCAAGAAGGAAATGGGAATACTGCAGTAAAGCTTGTCCTAGCCACCTAGTTCCCTTGTTTTATCTTTTCGTTGTGAAGGACTAAATGTAGTAGGACTAGTTCAACTAGTGAAGGACTGTGAGTTTGAATAGTGAGGGCTAGCAATGTGTTTTTAGACCAAAAGTGACAGTCTACCTCTAATAAATTGTTGTGTATTTTGGCATACTTTAGTTCTTACTCATGCGTACAGTGCCTTAGCATCTGTGCTCTAGGCACATAACAAAGATTTATATAATCCCTGAGGGATTCTACCCCTTTTCTCAGTTCTCATCATTCTTCTTAACCTGGAATATGAGAATTTTCTGTGGGGAAATATGGAGGAGCTGTGTTGTCATACAACTGCAGCAGAAATTGCAAATAGTTGCTGTAACCTTCTTAGTCCCTGGTAGATCTGGGTCTGATGTCATTTCTACCTCCTCAGGAAAAGTGAACAAGCAGTTGATGGAAGAGAGTCAATGTGAATTTTTTTCCCAATAACATTATTGCACCACAGGTTGTTCAAGACATGCTGGGCAGCCTCACTGCATTCTCCAGTCTCAGTTCCAATCATTACATTGCTGCAATTGTCATTAATTGTCAGAGCCACGCTTTTCACAACTTTTGGATGTTTCTATAGACCTTTTGTTGTTGGTACAAGACAAACTGGCACCTTAGCTAGTACCCATAACACTGTTTGCAAAAGAACATTTTAATGGCTGTTGTAATCTTATGTAAGATTACAATAGTGATTAAACCGTGTATATATAAACACCCCTCTTTTAAGTTGCTGGCAGCTTATGCATTAGAACTGAACCTGATGCAAGTGAAATCTGGGAGGATGTGGGTGCTATGTCTGCATGCATTTTAGATTTTTTTATTATTATGTTTGATAAATAATAATAATACTACCTTGGAGGAATGCATTCTTTTCTCATCTCAAAGTCTAATGGATTGGATCTGAAACCATGATGTAGCGAGGATTTCATTTTCCTTTCATTTTAAATAGGCTTAGAAATATATTGAACAACAACAAAAAAAGAAAACCACAAAAGGCAACACAGCTGAAATACCCCTGGCAGAATAACATAATAAAGGTATTTGAATTGTAGTCTGTTAATAAACACTGTGATTTTTGTAATTACTCAGAACTTGTCAGCTGTAAAACATTATGTCTGTATTTGAAGATTGTATTTTCACATTTACTTTTTTTTTTTTTGGAGGAGTGGTGAGTTAATTTACTTGAGCAGAACTGTGTGTATGGGTTAAGAGTAAAATGACATCAGTCTGGACAGTACCCCTAGCTTTCTCGAAAATACAACAGTTATTTGAACTAAATTTATACATATAGATGTTAATACAGACTTTAAAAATAAAAGTTTAGCTGTTACTTTATTATTTTCAAAGTGCTAAAAATATGTTTTAGAACCAGATTAGAGAACTAGATAAAATACTACATTACAGCTAGTCATAGTTAAATGTTAATTAAGATATTGACAGAAAGGATTATTGCCACCTTAAATACTTCCAAATCTGTGGAAAGGTAGATTGCAAACTGCATCTGCATTATAATAATTGCATATTTAGCACTAAATTTTAGATGTAATAACTGTAAGCATTACAGCAAGAGTCAAGGCTAATCCCTTCCTGGCCGTATTACAAAGAGTTGCAAGGCAGGATCTGTCCTGGTTGGCTCTACTGTCTCTTTGCAGCTGCTCTCAGTGGGAGTGCTGGGCTTGCTCTGGCTCCTGCCAGGTCGTAATCACATGTTGCTATCAGAATCGTGATTCTCAGGTGCATGGATGAGGTCCCAGCTCACCTTCCCACTTTGGTTGCAGTATGTTCCCTGTTGCATTTGCCCTTAGGTGCCTCTGCAGGATGCTACATGTCGCATCTCCCCACATCAGATACAAATGTTTATTTGCTAAGGTATACTTTGCTTTCTGTACTTGTCTTTTTCTATAATTACGCTGAAGATTTTAGTCCCAGGCCAGTAAAACTGTCATTCCGCTTGCTCACTGTGGCAGCCTCCAAACCCACTGGTGCTGTTGCGGTCCACATCCAGGCGGTGCTGCCTTGGAGCTCCGTCTCAGCCTGCTTAGACCTCGAGTGGAGGGGGGTGTTACTGAGCAACCCTTATTTCATGCTTCCATGCCAGTGCGATTAAGTTTTATATGTATGTTCAGCTTATTCAAAATAAGAAGCTGTCTTGATTTCAGTGAGATGTGCTTAATCACATCTTTACATGTTTTGTAGGAATTTTTACCCACTAGAAGTAAATCGAGCCTATGTAAGTAGAGAGCGTGAGTAGCCACACATAGCTGTTAGATTTGCTTGTAATCCTGTGATGTTAATTCTGAGGACAGTCAGTACCAAGTGCCTTTCCATACTGCTGAGATATTTTGGTTTAGACTCCACTTTTATTTTTGTGTTGACCTAGATTTTTTTCTTCATTTGGTCGGTGTCCTCCATTGTATTCAGGAAGGCTATCTCCACTATCCAGCAGATGCAGCAATAAACCCAACAACTTATTAGCAAAATCGCAGTCAGCACCTGCTAGGTTCAAATATCATTTTTGCTGCCAAACGAATAATTTATTTACTCCATGTTGCAATAAAAAAGTAACAATAATTGTTTACAAACTTCCAAATTTGAGAACTGGACCCTTCAAAATGAGCTACTGCAATTATCAGTGAGTTTAAATTGAACAGGGTTTTTTTTTTTAAAAAAAAAAAAAGGCTTCCTTAAGGACTATAACACTGAGTTATCTTCCTTAAGGACTATAACACTGAGTTATCTTACAAAACACTCAATCAAGATGATGATGATGTAACCAGATACCCTGGCATAGTTGTGATAGCTGTGGATAGAGGATCTAATGTAACTGGTTCAGAGTGCTTTGGTATGTTTTTGGTGATAATACAGAGTTAAATTTTATGGGAGATTTGAGTTCTTTTCACCCAAGTGGCCGCTCAGCTCATCCAGCATGACTTTCTGTATTATGTATATTGTATAGATTTATGTAGATCTGATGTCTGTTTAATCACTGCCCAATTTAGATCTTAGAATTTCTTGTTATTGTTTTAAGTATGCATAACAGCCCTTTCAAGTGTGACCTTTCTGTTGGTATGTATCTTGGGAACAAAAGAAGGATTTCATAATGAACAGCCTTGCCATAATGAGTCATTATTTTTTAAAAATACAGCAGCTATCTTAAGCAAATGTCA